CTGCAGACTGCCTCTCCCGGGCCGGCCCGGGAAGGGGAGCAGAAGCCTGGGATTTCTAGGTGGCCCAGAGGCAGAGGAGAGCAGCCCCGCCCGGCTCCGCCTGCCGCCGCCATTTTGTACCACTCGACAAGAAGCGGCGCCAGGGGCGGCGGCCATCTTAGAGGGCTCCGCTCGGCGGATCCACTCACCTTCACCGAGAACTCAGCAGCTGCCACCGCAGCTGCCTCCTCTGGATCCGGTCGTCGGGGACAGGGAAGGGAGGGGGAAGGGGAACGGAAAACAAAAAAGGGGAAGGGAAGGGGGAGGAAGGAGTCGAGGATGGCCTGAAACGCTCAGCTCAGAGGAGTCGCCGCTGCAGCCGCCACCTGGTACCCGCCGCCGCCTCCATAGAGCTCCGGCTCGCTGCTGGCGCCGAGGCGTGTCTGAAGCCCAACTTATCACTCCGGGGCGGCCGCCCCACCGGAGCCTCCCCGAGTGGCTTCTCTGCTGTCCAATCAGCAGCCGGGCTTCCGTCCGCCACCAATCCGCGCACGGCGGCGGGGAGGAGCCACCGAGCAAGCTAGGTTGCGGCGCAGCCCCGCCGCAGTGCGCAAAGCCATATTCGCGAAGGCTCTGGGGCCAAGCCAGTGGCGTAAGGGCGGCGGGCCGGCGCGCTGCGGGGCTTTTGCGTAGCGCTGGGAGCCCCGGGAGTGTGCGGCTCTGGGCCGTCGCGTCTCCCCGGGCCGGCGCTTTGTTCTGGAGGCCGAATCTCACGCTTGCCTCCAAGAGCAGCTTCCTTTCCTCTCCTTGACCCGCTCGGGCCTTGTGCCCCGAGAGCTCCGCGTGGCCTCGTGGCCTGGCCTCGGGCGGGCCTGCGGACTGAGCAGAGGGACGTGTGCCCGCCCGAAAGCCGCGTTCTATTTGTTGGCCCTCCATCTGTAGAGGAACGAGGAAAGAGTCGAAGGAAAGGATTGCCTTTGTACCCTAGGCTGGAGGCAGCTTCTCCTCTGTTCGCCCTGCTGGCCCCGAGCTAGACTCAGTTATGTTAGGCCTGCTAGCATAACTGTGTTTGTAGAGAGCGGGCATTTGGAGGGTGTAAAATTGCAGACTCGTTTTTAATTCTTTTTTTTCTTCATATTTCAAAAATGTTAAAGATGGGTTGCAGATTACCTCTCCTTGGTCGGCCCGGAAAGGAAAGTAGAGGCCAGGGATTTCTAGATGTGCAGTGTTTTTGATCTTACTTAGGATTATTAAGGAAAACGAGGCATTACAAAGGTGACAGGCTAAAGGATGGGTTATGTCTATGTTCCCCTGTTTGTGCCTTGGCTGTCCTGGAATTTGTTGTCTAGACCAGGCTGACCTCGAACTCACAGAGTTGCTTCCCGAGTGCTGGAATTAAAGGCGGGTGCTACCACACAGTCACTGTTTCGACATTTTAGCATTACAAAAATGAAGGTATGTAAACAACAGAAAGCCCTATCTTCGTGTTTGAGCATGCAGTTTTGGTAAAAGGGTTGACCAAAAGTAAAAGCACGTGTTTTTAAATCATGCCTTGGAATACCCAAGAACTGGATTTTCAAAGACCCAAACTTAATTTGACATATCTTGGTGTTTTAAGACCTAGTCCTGTCCTGCTGTGATGGCAGGCTGATCTCTGTGAGTTCGAGGTCAAATTGGTCTACAGAATGAGTTCCAGGACAGTAGGGCTACACAGAGAAAAGGAAAGAAAAAAAGGAAGAAGACCGATCTAGTCCTTAAATAGAATTTTCAGAGAATTGTACTCTCCTTAACATTTAAGTCTGATAATAGGATAGTTTGGCTTTGACAGTTTTTAATGCAATTCTAGCGTCCTGAGTTCTTTGCCACAAAATTAATGCTATTAAATAAAATTCCCTTAAACTGAAAACTGTAAAAAGCATCTTTTCATTTTTGGAGTTAGTTACATGTAAAAAAGAAAAACCTTTTTGGGAAAGGGACCACTTTTAAAATACAAGAAATTTAAATGTGTGATATTTTAGTTTTATACAAGTGATTTATATGCCTCCTGATATACTGAAGACATCTGTGTTGTAGGAACACAGTGATTTTTTAAAAAATGCCATACTCACTAGACTAGTGTGGATGTCAAAGAATAGCCACTTAATTCTAAAATATGGGTGTCCTAAAAATAAGAAATTTGACTTCAATTAAATTTTTTTAAAAAGGGGCTAGCAAGATGGTACTACTGGTCAAGGCGCTTGCTGCCAAGCCTGATGGCTGAGTTCAGTCTCCTGAACCCACGTGATGGAGAGAGAACAGGCTGACCTTTTACCTCCACATGTATGTTGAGGCACCATGCGCATATAATATTTTTTTTAAATATTTTTTATGGTTTTTATTTAACTTTATTTTATGTGCATTGGTGTGAAGGTGTCAGATCCCCCGGAACCGGATTTTCAGACAGTTGTGAGCTGCCATGTGGGTGCTGGGAATTGAACCCGGGTCCTCTGGAAGAGCAGTCAGTGCTCTTAACCGCTGAGCCATCTCTCCAGCCCCGCGCATATAATATTTTTTAAAAAGTCTTGTTTTGCTAGTTGCAAAACTCTGCTGTAAGTTTTGCAGATATGCAGGCTTGTGAGTTGCTGAGCAGACAGGGAGTAAATAAAAACGAAGGAAAAATAAATGTAGACTTAAAACAAATCTACTTTTTCCACAGGGCAGTGGTGGTGCACACCTTTAACCCTAGCACTTAAGACAGAGGCAGACAGATCTCTGTGAGTTCAAGTCCAGCCTGGTCTACAGAGCGAGTTCCAGGACTGTCAAGGCTACACAGAGAAACCCTATCTTGTAAAACAAAAACAAACAAAATCTACTTTTCAATCATAGAAATAAGCATTCACAAATTTGAAGTTGGCATCATATTTTGGGTGTATAAAATTTCAAATACTTGGATTTTAAATGTAACCAAACAGCTTGACATGTTTATTTTATTCATTTCTAATACATCTAGAAATCTGTTAAGAATTTTTAGTTGTTAATACATTTTTACATTTTCTGTTTGTTTTTGCTTTTTTTTTACTATCATTTTTGCCTAAGGATTCCTTAACTATGTATCTGAAGTTCAGAACTCTTACTTCCAAATTTCCAATGTCTTACGGATCAGAGAAGCAAACTTGTAGCCTTATTTGGTTTGAACCACATAATATTGTTTCAAGCAACTTGACACTGAAATATTAAGAGATTATATACAAAAAAAGATTTCCATTATTTTTTTTAAAAAATCTTAAAATATGACCCTGAAATTCCCACAGGACAAGTGTGGCTGAGTAAATGTTTTCTCTTGGGATAGCAATGTAATCTAGCAGTAGAGCACTTGCCTGCCCTTCCTGAGGTCTCAGGTTGATTCGCAGTCATGGAGGGGCGCGGAGAGAAAGAATTTCTTTGTAGCTAATCTGACTTGATACATTCATTTTGTGGTCTTCTCTAGCCTTTATAGTCAGTTTGCTGTTTTGAATTGTTCAACAGATTCAGTACATTAGTACTTGATCTTGCAAGTAATTGTTTCTCTTCTGTTTGGAACCTGTAAATGGAATAATGACACTTACAGACTTGTAATGATTAAATGAGATTATATATGCAAGGGACATAGCATAGTCACTGACATATAATGTTACATACTAAGTTTTGATTTGACTCTGAACTGTCCCTTTCAGGAGTGTTTTGAGCATTTGTTCTCTTGCTAGTGGCACTTTGTGAAGGCTGTGGAGCCATTTGGAGGTTGAACATGACTAGTGAAGTAGGGCACTAGAGGCAGGCCTTTGACGATTCCACTCACTGCTCGTGCTGGTCTGTCTTCTCTGCTCCCTCATACTACCTCATACTCCTATTACTGTAGACAAAGCTGTGTATGCCTGCTACTATGCCCTCCTTGCTTTGATGGACTGAAATCTCTGAAATTGTGAGTTAAAATGTCTCTTCTCTTCAGTTCTTGCTCCTATTTTTGTCACAGCAATAAGAAAATTAACACAAGGATGTCCATAAACCTATTGGTGGCTGCTTTTAGCTTGAAAGTGTCGTATCACCCACAGATTCTTGCATTTGAACACTTGGTCCCAGCTATTGATTCTAGACCAGATAATTCTGAGTATTTGGTTTGGAATCCAGACATCAATAGTATTTAAAATTCTCATTTTATTTCCAGTGTGTGGTCAACTTTTAACAACTATTACCATGGGGAAGAGGATTATAGATAATTATGTTTGCAGGCCCTAGGGAAGGAAACTGCTGTCTAGAATGGAAACTGACTTTTCCCAAGCAGGGTAACAGAGAGTCAAACCCAGGCACCGTAGCTTTTCATCCCCTTATATTCTGGGCTAACCCTACCTCTTCTGCTGTTCTTATTTTTTATTACTCCTAAACATCCTGTCATCTCTTAGGGAGCCAGTTAGACAAATATTACTGCCCTTAAAAATTTATTCCTGGGATGAGGGTGAAATGGCCCAGTGCATAAAGGTGCTTGCCCCTAAGCCGGGTAATGAGTTTGAACCCCAGGACCAACTCCTGTAAACCGTCCTTTGATCTCAACAGGAGCACTGTGATAGATAGGGCCACATGGCCCACTCATCCCCATGAATACAAAATAAATATAAATGTAATTTTTAAAAATGTTCACATCTAATACTCCACTGCAAGCATTTATTTCCCCTGCCATCTCAGTTTTGAAGCACAGATAAGTATGAAGCCCTCACGATTCTATTGCTGTGAAGAGAAACCATGACCAACACAGCTCTTATAAAAGAAAGCACCTAATTGTGGCCTTGCTTACAGTTCAGAGGCTAAGTCCATCATGGTAGAGAGCATGGTGGTAGGAAGGTGTGGTCCTGGAGAAGTAGCTGAGAGCTGCAGCCTGATCCACAAGCAGAGGAAAAAAGGGAGAGAGGGAGGGAGGGAAGGAGGGAGTGTCTCAGCTTGACACTGGCCAATTTTCCCTTTAACAAGGTCATACCTCCTAATCCTTCTAATTCTTTCAAATAGAGCCACTCCCTGGTGACTAATAATTTAAATATATGAGTCTATGGGTCTTTTTTGATTTTTGTTTTGAGAAAAGGTTTCCCTGTGTAACTTTGGCTGTTCTGGAACTAGCTTAGTAAATCAAGTTGGCCTTGAACTCGTAGATCCTTCTGCCTCTGCCTTCCAGCCTTCCAAGTGCTAGGATTAAAGGTATGTGCCCTGACTGCCTAGCTATGAGGGCTAATCTTATTAAAACATCATATTCAACTCCCTGGTCCCCATAGGCTTATAGCCATATCATACTACCAAAAATGCACTCATTTAGACTTTAAAAGTCCCCATAGTCTATCAACAGTCTCAACATTGCTTAAAAATCCAAAGTCTCTCCTAAGATTCAAGGCAGTCTCTTAACTGTAACCTCCTGTAAGACCAAAATCAAAAACTGACCACATACTTCCAACATACAATAACACAGAGTATACATTACCATTCTACAAGGGAGGAAAGAGAGCATGCTCTCTTTCAATCATGAAGTATTGGAACAAAGCAAAGCCGAAAAGCAGCAGGACAAATTCCAAATTCTGCATCTCCATGTCTGACGTCAAAGTGCTCTTCAAATCCCCGAATCCTTTCAGCTTTCTTGACTGAAGCATCCTTCTTTCTCTTTGGCTGGTTCCATACCCAGTCTGCAGCTCTCCTTGGCAGGTGTCCCATGACTCTGGCATCTCTAACATCTTGGGGTCTCCAATGAAATCCTGGATTCGCCTTCAGAGCTTCACACAGAAATGGAGGCATTTCTCGGCCTCCATTCAGGAACACCTCTTACACACACCTGGCCTTGGTGGCTTTCTTTAGCCATGGAGGAGATTCCATAACCCCTTTCTTGTATTCTTGATTCTAAAGCAAGAACCATGTGGTCAGACTGCCAAGTTCTGCAGCCTCCTGGA